TCAGAAGAAGTGAACTGTGTAAATAAATAAAAAAGAGAACGGAGTCGTGTGTAAGAAAATTAATTAAGTAAAGAACACAAGTACTGCGTAAAACATTTGTAAATAGATCAAGTAGTTTCTAGTGTAGTATTCAGAAGCAAAATAACCATCTTTGTTAAATATTGAGTATGTTTTAATTCACCACCGAGAAACATTACAGTATGTAAAAAAGTCTAATATTTTTGAAGAAAAACGACAATAGAGAAATTGGCCGATAATTTTGAATTTCATTTTTGTTGCCTTTTTTGAAAAGTGGCTTAATCTTAGTGGCTTTAAAAATACCTAGAAAACTTCTTGTGCATAAGTATACATTAAATATATGATTTAATGGGTGTATAATCGTGAGCGCACAAGTCTTTAACAAACAATCCGGAAAGTCATCTAAACCAGCTGAATATGTTTTTTAGTCTGCCGACTATTTTGAGAATTTCATTGAAAGAAGTTTCAAAAAAGAACATCGTGTCTAAAATTTTTGGGGAAGCGTCTGATGTGGCTCAACACTTACTGAGATTGGCAGCAATTCTTGAAAAGTATTGGTTAAAGAGACTAGCCATTGTTGGTAGATTGTTCACATTTCTATTGCTATCTTTTAAAACAACATTCTCTACAAGGTTTCTTGCTGATTTGATTGATTTTTTTACAATATTCCACATTGCTTTCGTTTTATTATTTGAGTTCAAAATATCCTGATCATGTTTCCGAATTTTAGCCTGCCTTACCTAATCCCGTATGTTGGACATGCTTTTCCGTGAAATATTTAATTTTCTTTTTTGAAAAGGAAAGCTTTGAAAAAAAAAAAAAAAAAAATTTAAATTTATCATTTGTATCAACAGTACTGTAAATGAATTTTCCATGACTCTTGCAGCAAGTAATTGATGAATAATTTTATTTTACTTTTAGTAAACAAACTACTCATATATGCATTATTTAATGTGATGAGGTTCGCAATTCTTATAATGATAAGAATTTGTGCATGTGATCACTGTATCTTTAATCTTTTGTTTCAATTTCATATCGAGTAATGGTTTTGGTAACTATTACTGGATCGACAGGAGTAGGATCAGAGGAAGTAAGACTGTTCGAAATAAGGGCGAGGTTGGAGCACATAAGGAAGGAGAAAAAGATGGATTTTTGGCTGGAGATTGCGTAGGAATGGAGTTGATGATGTTGTGCAAGCTTGTTGCTGACTGCATGTTTTCCAGCAAGGTTCATGTGGAGACCATGCTGGGTGAAATGTTTTGCTGACAGGAAATTAATTTTAAATCATGTAGCATTTGTTTCTCCCAGTTACAGTTTTAATTGTTGATTTGCATGTTTAATCTCGCTGCATAGTGTTGGTCTGTTGTACCAGAAGGACAACAGGGTCAAGACTACAATGCTAGTGTTTTGGGCAGCACATTGTTATTTGTTTACATGTTGTCCAACTCTGCCGTCACAATTGCAAACCTCCCGTTTGAAAATACATGAGACTGAGTAGTTGGAACGTAACTTCCTACTGAGAATGGAGGAAAGATGGCGGCCATGCCTGTCAGCTAAAATTAGTACTTGTTTTTTAGGCTCAGTAGGAATGTCTTTGTGGACTAGGATGTGCAGCATTACATGTTTTGGTTTTGATGTGCTTTCTAGTCTGTTTATGTTGGTTTGTGCGTGTATTTGTCGACAGTAGAGAAGGGTTAAGAGGATCAGCCAGGCAATAAGTACTGAATGTCATGAAACATTTTTGGTTTTCGATTTCTAATGTAGTACTGTTGTTGCAGCTATGTAGTACTGTTTTGTTGCAACTATTCTACAGCAGTTTTTGTGCAATGTTATCACTTTACAGCTCGTACAATAGTAGTACTTCTGGACATTATATCAATTCACATGATAGTGATGAGAAAGGTTTTCTTCACAATCAATATAGCTTACATTATTACATTAGTTAAGTACTTAGTTCTTTGACAGTTACAAAAAGTGTAAATAAATATAAAAAATATATTTCTAAAATATTGATTTCATTTCAAAAGCACATTTATAAACTTCAGAAATTATAGAAGAAAAAAAAAACATTAATTCAGCCTACTTAAAGTCTCTGTGTATGTACGGTTTTTGCAAATTAAAAACCAAAAAATAGAATTTTATAATGTAATAGCTATTCTAACTACTAATGCAGCAACGTCAATTTTACTATTTTTTTTTCAAGATACCAGTTATGATCGTTTGGGCTGCAATAACTCATGATTTTCAGGCAGCTGAAACTTTGTTTTCTCACTTTCTTTGACGTGTACACAATGGTACAAAATACACAGTGTGTTTTGACATGTCACCTCTTGCTTACTTCCATATTACTGACCTGAAGAGAAGTTTTTCAATTTCTTCCATGATAACAGTCTTCATATTAGGATGCTCTTCCAGCACTTTTCCAAGACAATGAATGGCCGTTGATGCAACTGCACCTTTAGGATCACCGATTTTGTTGACCAAATTTGACAGTAACAACTGTAATTTCGCAAAATTACATCAACAAAATGTTTTCATTTAAACCATTACATTAAATTGATATTTATTCAAACCATTTTATTCAATCATTAGTTAGAATCCATTTTATCCCTAATCCAATTAAAAAAGATCCAACTGGAGATTGATTGCCAATATTCATAGGTTACACGCAAGCCAACTTCAAACTACAATCTAAATTGTGATTTTATGAGGCAGATAAATAAGGTGCTTGATCACTGAAGATAACATACGGTAATGAAATTGAGAGATATCTACATAAAGCTTATGAACCAACAGATACAAGGAGAAAGGCAAAAAATGCCTAATAAATTCAAAACAAATAATTACAAAAACAAAGCTACTTACAATAAAATCAATCCGAGAAAACAGAACAGAGATCATTGTAAAAAGAAAAATTCATAAAATATAGGAACTACAGATTAAGCATAAACTTCATTGCATTTAAAACTTACAACTTCTTGTTCAGGATTTGCAGTCAGTAATTTTTGCATGACATGAATTGAATTAATTCTATTCTTCTCTACTGCATCACGTCCCACTTTTGCAATTGCTTGAACAAATTTCATATACTCATTTTTCAATTGGTCCTCAAAATACCACAGAGACAAATAAAACTTCCTCTTCGATAAAGCACCATCACTAAGCTTTTCCAATAATGAAAGAGGTCTCTTTTCAAATGGACGCAATTTTTTGTTTGGAACAAGAAGATCAGACATAAATAGATCTGTCAGAACCCCTGAAAATCAGAATTGCGTGAATAATACACATACCCTTCTCATCTGCTTCTGAAAATTATTTTCTATCCTTTAAAACCAACACAAATCATTTCTTGTACTATCAAGAAAACACTTCTAACACACTTGCTCACATACTACATTATGTAGTATATAGAAAGTTGTGTAATCCTGCAGTGAAAAACAGATTTTTCAGCAGAAAATCTGGCGTCTCTGACACTAGAAAATCGAATAATTCCTGTTCCTATATGTAGCAAATTACTTCTTCGAACATGTTCTGTACTCAGAATCCACATTTGGTGGGTCCTTGGAACTGAAAAATTGGTTGATAGCAAAATACCTGTCAATGTTTGAAATAACCTAGCATCTAAATCTGTTTAAAAAGTTATAAAACTTTTATTTAGCTGGACATTAGTAGCTGTGTGTTATTTGGATATTTGTGCATTATTCACTCATGGAAGTTTTGAATTAATTGTAAAGACATTAATAGTGTATATAATACATATTTCATACATATCAATTAAAGAGACCATGGTATTTTAGTATTTTTGAGAAAAATTGCCACCAATGAAAACAGGCCTTTTAAAATTCTAACATTGAAAAATTATATTTGAGTAATCTTTGATGAAATAAGGATTCAGAAAATGCAAGTTAAGCTACTAAAACCAATTTAAGGTAAATTTCTTCTTAAAATTCTGTGTAAAATCCCAAGTAAACTGCATTTAATTTGTAGTTAATTGTAGGCAGCTCTCTTTTAGTTAATTTGGTGGAAATTGAAATTCACAACATTATGACTTTTAGCTTTATTTCGCAACATTACATGTACTCTTGTAGCTTCTTTCTTTCACCATTCCCCACTCATGTTAATTGATTCTAACTGCTGTACTGTACATACGTAATAACTACAGTCCTTGTAAAGAATAACCTGTGATAACTACAAGTAGTGCTAGTAACTTGAAAAGTTTCATTAGTAAACTGCAAAAGAGGATAAATACTGCATCTCTTAAGTCCAAGTATTTCAAAGTCGTTTGCAAATAATTTTTTCTGAGTGTAATTATATCCTTTTCCTTTACCAAATCACAATCTAGCTCCATACTGAAATGTTTTGTATATGCAACTGAATTCACACTACTCACACAAATGTAATAAGTTTTAAAAGTACTTACCCATAACTTTGATACATTCCTTAGCATTGTCCATCCTGTTGACGATACCCCTGATGATACCAAGACCATGTATGGGAGAATTTTGTATTAGTAAAACACTTGCAGCAATTTTATCCTGGAATGTTCCTTTATTCATCATTGTTTGAAGCCAATCATTTTGAGAATTATTCAGTCCTTCTGTACTTTCTGTCAAAACAAAAGTTCAAAATTTACATATTTGAAAATTAATAGCATTTTCTAATACATCAATTTAGTGGGGAAAAAAAACATTACTATTTTTATAATGAAGAGTGTCATTGTGAAGAACATTACGAGCTTCCTCTTTGAGCTGATTGACTTCGGCCTCGGGGAGAGTTTTAAAGTCTTCGGGATCGTCTGTAATCTGTTAATATATTATAAATTAGTGGCTAAAATTGGAAGATATAACAGCATTAAATTCCTTTTTTTTTTTTTTAAATTTCATGAAAGCTAGGTTTATTCAGTGATAATAACAAGAAAACTTAACATAAGAACAACTTTTTAAACACTAGAAAAAGCAACAGGTGGGATATTTCATTCTTACATCTTCATGCCATTTCCGGACTTCGTTTTCAAAATCTGCTTCGTCAAAAGTGCCATTATGGTCAGCATCAGCATTTTGTGTTTTTCCAAATTCATGAGAATTTGGTTGTCTATTTTGTTTCACCATTATTACGATTAATATACAAGAATATTTCGAACACTTAACTTTCTAAAGACAACCCTATCTTCTACGACATGCGTCATCCAGTTTCACAAATAACGAGAGGGCACAAAGGTTTATAACACAACGGCACTTGTACAAAAAATATCAATCCAGTATAGATTTTTATATTCTCTCTCCATACATCCCACAATTAATACATCACAAAATGCTGTCACAAAGCCCTTACAATATTACCTGTAAATACGCGCTTCATATAACCTAACAAAACCTACGTGAAAGTAACATTTAACCACCTTTATGTTCCAAGATACGCAACACACACGTCGCAAATAATTTATAGCCACAGATTTTTTGAAAATACGGCAACACGTCGGTGCCGAGTCCAAAACATGTTTTTGAACATTAATACATTCGGGCTATTTTTTTAATAACTTCTATCTGACCAACACCAACTAATAAACGAACTTCTCTTATTCAAAAAATATCAATCCATGCCTCCACGAGCAGGGCCCTATAACTCCCATATAACGTGGTGGGGACCATTACAGTGGCGCGCTCTAGACCATCGCCTTCTTACACGAACTAAAATACGATCTGCTACCAACGTTATTTAAAACGTGCGTGGGTTCTTGGGACGCAAACGCGCGCGTTTGATACAAAAGATCGCGCCGCTGTTCGCGCTACCTTTTCTTTCATGCGTGTATCATTATGAATAAATGAATTTTAGAAGATAAACACGTAGTATTTAACTTCTTTTGTAATTTATTTCAGAAATCGCTCATAATCAAAGTGTATTCGTATTTCTTGACCAATTTTTATGTGCGAAAGTTGGCGAGTCTTACCAGCAGCTATATCAGGCGACACTAGCGCATCTTATAGTAGCAACCTCTAGCTTTGTCCCCAATTTTGATGACGAGTTGCCGGGCCCTGACCACGAGGACCCAGAGATGTTCACAGGGCTGCCAAACTACGTGTTAATTCTCACGGCTAGGTCTCTTGGAGTGCTGCGCTCGAACGGGCAGCACTCCTGTTAAACTGAGCGGTGGTGGGGACCGTACCATGGTGGGTGTAATAACTGGTACTGTCCGGGACTGAGTTCTCCGACCGCGGGACGGAAGGGACCTAGGCCTCTTCCCAGAACGGAGCTGGTGTGGGAGACATTCCGGCCGCGACGTGACTACTAGCCGCGCCGAAAAACATTTTTTATTATTTCATCAATCGCGGACGTCATTTGATTATTTTAGTATCCTAGACTAACTTATTACAGAATCTGATGACTCTGGGAGGCTTCACTCTCTGAATGAATCGCTGTCGGAGTCCAAATTAAATTATTTCGTCAATGACGTCCGAGTACAATACTATCTTTTCCCAATAATCACTTTCTAGTTTTTTCCACGTGTTGGCAAATCTTTGCCAGTCCGGGCAATGGTGACCTTGTATTGCAGTTTCAATGTTTTTTCTGCAATGTGTTTCCATTGAAACAATGAATCTGTGAATCTCCATCCACTGAATGTCGTCTCTCTATCAGCACCCGCGGCTTGATTTGGCCACCTTTTCCATTTAAAACCCATTCTGATTTCATAACACGCAACTAAGATGATATGGGGCCCCGCAAGAAATATTTGTTTTGCCCTTAATAATTTGGAAGAAGCCTTTAAGCAATGTTCCCACTACCTTTTCTCTCAATGTAGAAATCCAGCATCGTATTTCTAATGACACAGCCGGTTAAAATATCTACATGGACAGTGAATTGCCATGGTGCCCAGGAGAGCTTCAGCTTCCGATTTTGGGCTATCTCATCCTCGTTATATTTTCTTTGCCGAATGCGTTGATGTGTAGGTATCTCCGCAATTAGTGTTAGCAGTTTTTTTGTACTTCTTTAGCATATTTTACAATTAATTTTAGGCTTTGAAGAATGTAGATACCCTGCTAATGAAATGACTCAGTGGCTAACAAACAACTCAATAAATTTATAGTGTACAGATTTATTTCAAATTAAATTTAATACCAATGGATAAATTTTTGAAGAATATACAAATTCTCCAAGGTAGATAACAGTAGTGATAAATAATTCATTTGGGAATAATATCAAAAACGGTCATAAATTTCACATCAATCATGAAGTTACTTAATGAAATCTGAACATATAAATCTACATAATATGGTCACTATAAAAATACTTGTATTTGTTTCCGCAAACATCACGGGACCTGTTTTTTAAGTACTCTCACTCTGCGGCATCGCGCATAGAGTGCAAACTAGTCGGGAAACTAGTCCCTGGATTGGGTCTGCTGAACAAGTAGGTACAAAAATTAGTAGTACACAATGGTTAGGCAAAATCGATGGCGTATTGAGTAGAACCTTAAATACTTGTTAAATCGGTCTTACCATTCAAGATTAGTACAAAGATTGCCAAATCTTACGCGTCCGTTGAAAACAACACTAAAAGAAACAACAGAATTTCGTCACAACACTCCGTGTCGCGTTTCACACAAAGTGGGTGTGTATGAATAAAAGTAAGGCAAGTACTTTTTGCTCCGAGTTTTCGAGATTCCTACTAGTTTCCGTATGAATAAAGTGGGTTATGCATTGCTGAGTCTCTGAGCTACTGTGCTGCCAACTCTGAGGCGTAACTCTCATGGGCCGAGCAAATGCTCGAATGGTCTGAATAAGTTTAAGGCGTTTAACTCTCTAGAGTCGAGCAATGCATAGAGTGAGCTTGCCTCCCAAACATTTAGAGGGACCTTGTCAGAGACTCACGTTTGAAAAGTTTAAGGTTAAATTGGGCCGATTTTTTACGTGTGTTTGATATGCATATTGCATGGAGGACTAACCATGAATTCAGTATTAGGACAAAATTCTTCTGGGTGAATGTAGACTATTAGATCATTTGCCCGATTCGAAAGTTTACAATGTATGGTTGTACCCGCATTTTTATCAAGCGCTTGCATTCCAGGCGCGTTTTCAATTGCAATATCTATCTAGTGTAATTGGCCATCGCTCTTTTCTATTGGAATTTGTTCCGGGTACTGTTTTTTTGAACACTTTGTAATTGTTGTTTTTTTCGGGGGGGGCCCAGACCCAGCTTTTTTACTTTCGAAGCTGGCTCTTTCAAAAAAAAATTATCTTCACTTAGCATTTCGGTAAAAATTAGCTGGGCCCTAGCGCCTGTTTTTCCGTTACTGTTATTCTATTCGAATGTTAAAGATCGAGACAACAAACCATTGGCTCTTTATTCCGCACAGAAATGTGCGCTCGACCGGCGTAACGCATGTAGACTCTGTTGGATTGCTCAAGAACCCAATTTTTAAAACTCTTAGCCGGCCCATATCCCTTTCACGACGAGCATAATGCTGTCGCGAGCATGAGTAAGTCTTTCGGGGACATACGAGTTTTTATTCATACGAAATGGAGCTTCTGCTCCAGTTGCGCGGAGTAGACTCACTTTTCTCCGGAGCAAGTACTCATGAGCAAGTGCTCATTTTTATTCATATGACCCAAAGCGTTCGCTAAACCGTGCTACACGGAAGTAGAGAACGTTGGAAAAGTCGCAGGTCAAGAGTGTTGTTAGTCTTCGCTGGCCAATAGCAAACACCCAGCCGTGACGTCACCGTTAGGCTAGACTGATGGTGAGGGAAACGGCTGTGATTGTAAGCTTTCCCACAAAAATCAGTCTATAGGTGCCGCTGCTTTCGTTTCATCGGTAGTTGCAGAATTGCCCGCCAGATATAATTTTCGTATCGCATGTAAAAATCAAAGCGACCTGACCCTGGTTATTCCTGTGTTACTCACTTGCGCTTTACGTTTTTCCATAATTACTCGCTCATTTTCTTGACCTTGCTATCAATTACAGTTTTTGAACCTGGTAAACTGTGACTTGGGATATTGTTTTTGATTATTCTTTTGGATTTCGGTTATTTGTCTAAAAAATACAGAACGGTAAATAAGTACATACATATTTAGTAAGTCACGGTACAAGGAACTTCCTTATTATTACTCACCTTCCATTTCCCAATTTCCCCCCCAAAAAAGGAACAAAAATCAAGTTCCAATATACACAAGAAAACCCGAAAGATAGCTAACTCACCAAAATCCAAGAATCTAGATTTAGATTGATTTAGTAAAAAAAAGGTAAAAATTGTATATATGACGTATGGAGGAAAAGTTGATCTGCGCATGTTTTCTTGAGTTCCAGAATCCCTTCCCATCGTTTTAACTATAAATAAATAAAAATAAATTTTAAAGAAGCGCGGGATTAATAATATCTGAAAAAAACTAGAAAATCAACGAAACGTAAAATAAAGCATGGTCAAATTCCAATATTCACGAGGAAAATCCGAAAGAAAGCGAAATCACCAAAAACAAGAATCAATAAAATGTAAAACAAATCAGGGTCAAAATATACAGGGCAGAATGTAAAACAACTATGCAGAAACCTGTTGGAAACGTAAATGGCGCGTTGTCGAAGTTTGGCGTTGGCGGGAACTCGGGGACCGAAGTACGCATGCGCGGATTTCTAGTTTGAGGGAGAGTGCACGAACTTATTCGAACTGTTTCGGACTGGTTTCAAACTAATCAGCAACCCTGCTGGAACGCCCAACTCCCAGTCAATCCCTGACTGCTACTGCTGGAACGCCCAATACTAGGCTGCGCATGCGCGGACTAGTTCGGGACTGTTTCGGACTGCTGCTGGAACAAACCTTTGATCTCTTAGTGCCTCTGGAAAGAAATCTCTTCCATCTATCAATATTGATGTGATTAAAAATCCGTTTGCTAGAACGAACTACTAAAAGGAATGAAAACTGCTTCAAGATATCAAAAAATTATATTATTGATATTCCGATTATGTTTAACCTTATTGCGCTTCTAAACATTGCAAAGACATTGCATGTGAATTTGCAATATAATAAGTTGAACATGACAACTTTGATTTCCAAATTAATAATAATAATTTAATTACCATCATCGGTCAAACATTACTGTCGTTGACAATTCAAGCAAGCAAAAAGGCAGCTCTCTATTTCTCTGCTTAGAAATAGCGTTTAATGTTACATATTAAGTCATGTTTTCAATACTTACTCAAGAGTACTTCACAAAACATTTTATTGGAAAAGCAATGTAAAATAAACAATTCATTAGAAGAATTAAAAGTTTAATATGCTGTACAAATTTGACAAATGCTTAGGCAATGCTTTCAATTGCCCAGTTTATTCAATTTAAATTTCCGGCTCCGATATCCTCCAAATTCCGAGACATGACAAGGATATCGTCGACATACACCACAATGATGAGTTGATGACCTCTCTACTTCTTCAAAAAACACAAGGATCCTAGTCGGTTGCTGATCCGCCGAAATTGCAAAGCTCTTTGTTCAATCGTTTGTGCCACACTCGATCTGCCTGATGCAGCCTGTCGAGCGCTTTCTTCATGTAGCAAACCTTGTTTCTTTGGACAACTTCTCGAGCATATCTTTTAGCCTTCTTCTTGATGGCGCTATTCTTCTGCTCCCTCCGGGTGATCATCTCCGACATATCCTCGGTGTATTCTGGTACTTCCAGGTATACCTTCTTTTCCAGGACGCTGT